AAAAAAAACTTAAAACTAGAAAATATTTTAAAAGAAAATTATTGAAGGGGAAAAATTATTTGTAAAAGAAGCAGGGATATCATTTTATTGCTGGCAAAGTTGGAAAATGGTTACACAATGTTTGTAAGAATTTGCTTGCATTTAAGAGTGTTATTTAAAATTAATCATGGCACATCGAAATTGTTGTCATAGCCTGTCAGTATCGCGGAGTGAAGGCCACACGTTAAATATTGATAGAGAAAAACAGTATATATCTAAGTCTTTTCACACCGATGTTATTACTTTTTCTTTCATTAGCGTGGATTTAATTACTCTCGCACACAATTACAACTATTCTCTATAATCGTTTACGTTTCTAGGGTGCAAATACAACAATCATACGTCATATTAATTATGAAACACTTTATCGAATCTTTATGGAGATAACCCAATACGATTGATGCATGTACTCGGCTTATAACAAGAAAGATATAATTGGTCAGTTGAGACATGAAATTTTTATTCAGGATGTAACTAGGTCGGTACTTCCGCACTAATAAGTAGTTATTAGTAATTGATGTGTTTGGTCAATAAATTCCTCAATGTAGCGCTCAAGGATCACTTACTTTGCAGAGAAATTTTGTGGTCGGTTTTACTTCATTTCTAGATCCAGATGAATAGCAAATTCGAGTGAGGAAGATTCAGTTTCAAGGTATGTCACTTTTTTTCCGATCTGATCACAAGTTAAGGTTTAAATAAAATTTCCATACGGGTTAATCATTTCTTTAAATGAATCGTTCATGGGAATAAAACGGCCTTTCGCATTTATAACTCATCAATAAACGCTACAAAATATTTTGAAGTTGATGGACAAATAGACAGAATGCCGCACCGAAGAGCTAGTAATACGAAATCACTTTAAAATAAATTTCTTTCATTGAAGTTCAGTCTAAAGCAGACCTTGGTCACAAAATACAGGCCAAGTAACTAAGATTTCTCTAAATTTCTATTAATACATATTCGGTAAATGAGAGCCGATATTTGGCAGCTTATTGCTCCTGAGATTTTACGTTTGCTACTTGGTTCAGATGTATCTAACCCCACAGCACATCCATGAAACAATGAACTTTTATCTTTTGGGCCTATGTTACGACTGAGAGTTTTTCATGTTTAGCAAGCGAGCTTTAAATGATGCCAAATAAAATAACTGTGAAAATGATCAAGGTCTTTGATCAGAATGTTTTTAAAGTAACAAATTTCCTTCGCTCTTGGATCTTCTTCTATTCGGATAAAAAACCGATTACTGTATTTTTTTTCTTTTAAATTATTGAAGAGCTCTTTTGAAATAACCGAAACAATGAAACGATTAGGAAAAACACCGTCACAGCTGGGAGACGATTGGAATCGAAGCTTATTATGCAATAGAGTACGGTAAAAATTCGCGTGGAAGAACCTACATTTTTTGAAGTCTGGCAAAACAGGTTCTGGTATTATAGAATAGTTATTGGCTATTTAGGTTAAGTGGGTTCTTAATTAGGTTCTTAATTTCTAAGAAGGAGATATGGTTGCTGATTACCAAAAAAATAAATAATTTTGGGTTTGGTACTTTAATATACAGTACTTATTCAAGACTGAATTATGATAAGCCTGACACAACTCATTACGGAATGCATATGTGGTATTGTGTCTATAACAAGAGTTTATAATTCAACTGTAATCCATATATAAGAACCTTCTTGATCTTAAGCTTGTTCAGCTAAACATGTTCTTATTAATATTTTTTGGTATTAGAGTGGCAAATATTTACCAGCAGGGTCTTTTGAAAACCACCAGGTTCTTACACACGGGTTGTTACCGCTGTAACACACGCCGAAGACGATTTTAAATGAAGACCAAGTTGTTGCCTATAGTTACTTTCAGGCAAAAATACGCTAAACACCCAAAGCCGCAGTAGTTAGATATTGTGTTGTTTAGGGTTATTCTCGTCACTATAAGGTTTAACACCAAAAATCTAAAGAAACAACAGATATTACTGATGAGTATGAGAAAATGAATGAACATAATTTAAACTGAGTACTCGAACAATCAGTCGCCATGGGACATTCTGGCAATCTTTCCCGTATGGTGGAACATTTTTTTCGTTCTGAAGGAAAAACTTCAGAACTGCACCAACAGGACAGAAAATCTGATGCGTTTCCTGTCTCATTTTATAAGGTTATTTTGAACAATTTTAATTAACCATTTATTACTTATGGGATCTCTTCCTCCTGTGGACAGTTTTCCAAACTCTTCTTGTGTTCAGCTGAAATGGCAGTGAAGTCTGGTGTCTTAGCTCTATTATATTCGCTGTTCTTGATGTCAGGTAACGTATTTAGTGATATTACTTTTTTAATGAAGTCTACCTAAGATTAAATTCGTTTTGTCGTTCAACCCCGCGACGCAGTACTTCTCTCACAAAGTACAAACAAATGGGAAAGTTGAAATGCTTCTGCGAACCTGATACATCGATTCATGTGTCCTGCATAAATTGATAAATATATACTAGAGAAGATCTGATAATCTCTTGATATATGTAAAACGAATTATTGAATCACAACTTCTCAAGTAAAATGTATAATAAAATTCATATAAAGTTAAGAAGAGGAAGTTTACGTGATCGTGTTTGGTAGCATGTATGAAAGAGACAAAGAGGACTTTGAATTCTCTCAAGCAAAAATCAGTTTCAACGTTCTCCACTAATTAGAAATTTGGGGTTGCACTTGTCTAAGATAACGCTACAGTTTCACAATTGTTACGCTATCTTTTCTTCCCTAAAATTACTGAAACAGATCCAAGCCTTGCACATCTTTCAAAAACAACTGCAAAATCAATGCTTGTTATGACTGAGCTTTTTCATTCCTATTAGCCGTGACTGTCTTTTCCTTTCACTGTGGTTGTGAACTCACTTTATTTAAGATATGCAAAATTTATATTAATAATTGGTTTGCTGGTTAGTTATCTGATAAATTTTGTATATATATTTATTAACTAAGGCAGCGTCCATACTACGCCGGAGAAATTTGAAAAAGGAGCTTTATTACTACGGTTAGATCTACCGTCCACACTTATCCGTCACCAAAACGGAGCTTTTCGAAAACGCTCTTCAAACCGGGAGAGTTTGAATACGCTGGCTTTTCGTCTTTGTGTAGACGGGAAACTTGTGATTTCCCTGACCGAGTTTTCCTCAAACACAAATCAAAATGACCGATGCTTGTTGCATTTTTAAATTTGACCGGCGTAGTGTGGACGGAAAACATTTGATGCATTTCCATAGTGAAATTAATCTCCGTTTTCAAATTGCTCCGGCGTATTGTGAAGTTTCTCTTTTTCCTGTTTTACCCAATACAGGTAATGTATTAATTAATACGAATTTCTCTAACGTCTTTAATTTCAGATGCAGAGTCTTGCCCTAACCAAAATTTAACAGACTGGGCCGGTTCATTTCAGCCTTCAAGCTACCCATCGAAGTACGCACCAAATTTGGACTGCTATTGGCTGATTCAAGTGTCAGATGGAAATCTTATTGAAATCAACTTTCAAGATTTTGCGGTAACTGACAATGCAATTTATGTTTCTTGGTTTCTAAACCGCTTTCTTGATGATTTCTTCTATCGTTCCAATTTGTAACTCTTTTCTTTTATCTTCCAGATGGACGGTGATACGGTATGCATCCATTTTCTGTAGTTCCTCCTATTTTCGTTTAGTTGTTTTTTCATCACCTCCACACAAAGACAAGAAAACTCTGTCAAGGAGCAATGCGGCCATGTATTTCAAGTAGTGTCACATTTTTTGCTCACTTTTTCTCTTAGTTTCGAAATTACACTGTCGTGAGCAGGGAAAGTATTTTTCTTCTTCTGCTTCATTAACAGGTGGATAATTGCCCTAATGACTATGTGGAGGTTCTGGAAGGTTCTTATGGAAGCACCGATTCTATAAAGCGTGTTTGTGGCGCGAATCTACCATTTGAAGATGAGTATCGCGTGGTTCGTTCAAAAGGTAGCTCGCTTCTCGTGCACATGCACACAGACGATGCCAACCAAAACCGAGGATTTGCAGCAAACCATCAAGGTGTGTAAAACTTGATCTTCAACATTTTTTTATTTGTTTCCCTGGGTACTTGGTATTACGATACATTGACTAAATGAAATATTTGCCATTTTTGAACTCGTGAATTGTGGTAGCAGTGGGATTATGCAACTGAGGGTTTGGTCAATGATCTGTTAACTTTTCGCAATTCCGCTGTTTTGCGGGCGCATATATCGTTTGACATCTGCAGGACAACGTGTCACGTACATGCAACTGCCAGGGTTGTAGTAAAATGGAACTGTTAGTTTAAATAACTCAAGTTAAATGGTTAAAACTTCTGGTTGATTTGTCGATAAGGGGAAGTGTTAATGGCAGCTTGCAACTGTTAGTTCAAATAACTCAGATTACTTGTGTGTTAAAGTTTTCGGTTCATTTGTGGGTCGGGGAAAGTGTTACTCAAGTGATTGAGGCGCACGTCATACAACGCTGACGTAGATGCTACAAAAGGCTTAATTTAAGTCACGAAAAGGTCTTCTATATATCTGTCACTTAAATTACTGCGACGGTAAAACTTTTTTAACTAACCCTATGAAGTCCGAATAAAAGAACTTTGTCGGAATCTATCGGAATCATTATTTTCATTATTTTCTTAAAACATGAGTGTTGTTTTATGAAAAGGGTAATCCTATATTGCTCAAAGATTAACTCATATCAATCATCATTCACTGCAAATTCACGAGTTTGCTTATGGAACACTTTGATATTATACTCGTAGTTTTTGTGGCCGACACAACTCGCGCTCTGTTAGCTATTTTTAAGGCGGGATTCTACCGTAATACTCGAGTTATCGTTTGTCTTTCCTAAAAAAGCTAGAGGGAATTCGAAACCATTGCGTTTTTTTTTATCAAACCTGTAACAGCATAAGTAGGTGACAATGAACGCACTGGGAGTGGGGCTGGGAAGTAGATTGAACAGATATCCATTGATGCGAGACGAATTTTTAACGTTAGTTCATTGGCCAATCAATTGCCACACAAATTGCTACTTATCAACCTCGAACGTTCGGTCTTTAAGAGAAAATCTCAGACTTCGGTCTTGATGATTTTGTTTTCTCTAGCCTGTCATATATACTGTCAAATTCGGAGAAAACTCAAAGTTTGCAATCGAACAGCATCATTCTCAGCAGAAGGCTAAAAACAGTTTTCATCGCCGCCGATACGTAATAGTTAAGGACAAATTTAGGAATCAAGAAAAAAGGCTATTTTTTCTACAAAAATAACTGGATATGTATTTGTTTATCCAGGTATTTGTAAAGTGACATTTTCGACAGTGTCAGGAACCATCATGTCTCCAAATCATCCTGACAAATATCCAAACAGTGTGATGTGTGAGTGGATCATTGATCTGGGTCCAGGATATGATATTACTCTGACTTTCCATAAGTTTAATTTGGAAAAGAAAGATGACTGTTCATGGGATTGGCTGACGGTACAGGCCGGAAACACTCCAGATTCCCCGGTAGTAATTAAAGTGTGTGGTGATGTACTTCCTCCTGATATAAAAACTAGTGGACCAATGAGGATCTACTTCCAGACAGACAATGACAACGAGTTTGAAGGGTTCCACATGACCTGGGTAGCCGAGGGTGAGACAAAATGAGTAGACTTATCACTAAATGAACGCGTAAAGTATGAAATTTGTGATATGTTTGTGATGCGATCTTAGCATCAAAGACCACAACGGAGAAAAATACGAGTTTCAAAGCATATCACATGCATTATCACGCGTGTAGTATTCACAAATCAGTTCCAAACTTTATTATACTAGAAAACTGTAATTATTATATTTGTTCATTTCAATCTTTTAAGAGATATTTTAACTTTTTTATTATTATTATTTTAAGAAATATATCAAACACGAATTCTGTGTTTGACGACATTTCCAAACACCGAAAAGTGAGGATGCGACGCGTAGCAGAGAATTTTTGACGATCTTCGAGGTGTTAGGAAATGTGCTTAACTGTCTTGAGCGTTTGATATTTCTTCTCAGTCGACACTAAAATTAAGGAGAAAACGAAGAAATAAAGTCTTAAAAATCTACGTTGATTCTGCCGTAATGCTCGAGCACGATCAGATATATATCTAAACACCGTTATGTTCATGATTGCCGTTGTTTAAATTTGATGAATTATTGATGAGTTTGAGAATTGACTGTCCACATCATTTTTTAAGATCAAAACGAGTGCAATAAACCTGAAACCTGCCATTCAAATGCCACGTGTGCCAACACAGATGGTTCATATCAGTGCACGTGTATGCTGAGTTACACTGGAGACGGCAAAACCTGTCAGTATTATAAAGGCAAGTATTACACAAAACCTGTCGAATCCCAAATATTGTAAACATCGGGAGAATATAAATAAATAAATTCGGATACACATATTAAATATCATTTCGGCTAGCCTCTGAACAGGCTCCCAACTTAGAGGATGAGAAGGAACCTATCCTAGGATCCGAGCTTACCAGAGTTCTGCAGCAATACGTAGAGGGAAGGGCACTACACGCACATAGCTTTCTTGGCTTAAACAAGAAAGACGTAAAAGGAGTTGGCGATAGAGCAATAGTCAACGATTTATTGGGAAGTACTGACTTAACTTTATTTTTTTGTTATTTTCAAAGAAGAACGAAGTGCTAAACTGAACGTGTCCGGAATTAGGCCCGCACAGAATTAGGGCTGCACAGAATTGGGGTATTCTTGGGTTTCACGTGACGTCACAAGCTTTGATCAAATCAGTGTCCTCCAAGTTGGTGTCCCTCGGGTATCAAATTTATGCTAATAATAGTCCAT